AAACATTCGAAAGCAGCAATATCATGTACTCAATATATCACTAAAATCATTAATATGAATTTCACTGAAACCATTAATAACAGTCACTTTCATTTTAAAAATAACCAATCAAATATTTGGGCTCAAATTTAGAAAGGTAGCAGTTCGTAAAGATATTCTAGCGTAATTGCCAATCTAATATGTATAGAAAAACTCTTCTAGAAATTCAAGAATACGGAATTATCACAATTTATGGGTTGTTAATTTGCAAATAAACATTTCACAACAATGCTATAATCAAATGCAAAAATATCAATTTTCAGATAATAAGGCAGTCATTTGCACATGAAATTTACAATGTCTAAATATTTAAAAACAGTAGAAAGAAATCTCACAATTTTACTCAAAGCAGAAATATCAGATTTATTTCTAATAATTTGATAGTATCTAAAATTTTCTAACAATAGACAAGAAAAATAAATAAAATTATATTTCTAAGAATTTACAGCATTTAAAACTTCTAACATAGATAAAATATCACAATTTTTATTAAAAAAATTATTTTTCAAGATAATGAGGTCGCGTGCGCATAAAATTTATCGCGCCTAAAATTCATGATAATAAGCAGAAATAATTATTTCATTTTATTTTTAAAAAGAATGGATTATTTTTCGAGACAATGAGGTCACTTATACACAAAACTTATAAAATAAAGATCCTAGACGGAAATATCACTATTTATTAAAAACAGACTATTTTTCAGGAAGACGATATCACTTACACACAAATATTTGAGAGGGAGCTTCCGATAAAAAATTCGGTTTGAGAGAGGAGTTTACTGTGTTTCAACCAGAAAGAGAGAGATCTCAAAATTTTCTAGGTTGGGAGTGCTCACCTCCCCTATTTAAAATCTTATAACGTATTATTATATTATTTTATTAGGCTCTACCTCATACATGAGGTGTCGCGTTAAAAGTCTGTTTTTAACATATGAAAACCACGTCCACTAAAGGACGTGGCAAGCAGCAAGCAAAAGTTTAAACCAAGTAAAAACTTTTGAAAATAGTGATGGTCCCTAAGGACCATCATGCTCAAACGGACCATCACCTATTTAAAAGTATCTTTTCTCTTTTTTCTTTTTGTTTTTTTTTTTTTGTTTTTTTTGTTTTTTTTTTTAATTTTAGGATTGTTACATAATATAAACAAAAAAATGTATTAACAATAGTAGACAATGACATCATCGGTATTTTAAGTAATTAATCAATGGTAAACTATAAATTCTTAATAGAAACATAAACATTTATTAACAATAGTGAACAATGATATCACCGTTATGGTGTGTGACATCACCCACAAGATGCGTTAATTGTTTTTAACAACTAATAGAATGCTACTATTTTCTTATAAAATATCCATTCTATCATTCTAAATGACAAAAAATGCCCCTACTTGAAAAATTTTGTATTACAATTCAAGGGACTTTTAGTGTCAAAAAATGTTGAGCATTCTAAGGGTATAACAAGATGTAGCCTGAAAAAACCCTATAGAGATACTCAATATTGAATTGGAATCTATATTTCAATCTTGAATTGGAAACTATTTAATTTTTAGAGGGTGAAATCCAAGTGTTAGAAAACTCAAATTTTAATTTTTTTTCTTTTGATAATAATCATCTAATGATTCTTAGGTGATTCTCAAAATTTCAGATCGATAAAATCCTCCAAAGTAGGTCTTAGTCCTCCAAAGTAGGTCTTTTGATTGAGGGAATAAAAAAATAAAACAAAGTAGGTCTTTTGATTGAGGGAATATAACTAAACTATAAGGGGGAATAGAACAAAGTAGGTATTTTGATTGAGGGAATAGAAGTAAACTATAAGTAAACTATGCATTTTGATAAAATCCTCTAAAGTAGGTATTTTGATTGAGGGAATAGAAGTAAACTATGCTCTATGCATTTTGATAAAATCCTCTAAAGTAGGTCTTTTGATTGAGGGAATAGAAGTAAACTATGCTCACAAGGGAACATAGTGTATATACTATTAAATCAGCGTTGTTAAAAAATACCTAATCATAGTTCTCTCTCTTTTCTTTTCTTTCTTTTTTTATTTTTTTATTTTTTTATTTTTAATGTGTCCCCGCAAAGTTATTTTTATTTTAGGAAGTAAAAGATGAGACCATTTATGTTTGGTACAAGGTGGTCACAATTAATCTTGACCATTGAATGTCAAATTGGGTGGCTGCATTTATTTCATTGGCCAAACTCAAAGTTCAAAATAAATTTTCTCGTACTTTGTGACTTGCAATCAAGAAATTGTTTTATTGATGCCAATCTATGGATTAAGAGTTTATATCCCCAAAATTTGGGTTCCTAAAATTACTCCTAGTTGGGAATTTAGCCGCGGAAGTAAATGGACCATATACTCCTGAGGGAGTAGATTATCTTTTGGCCTATTGAGCACATATACTATGCTCCCTCGAGCATAGTTAACTTCCTCTCCCTTAGTCAAGGACCAACTTGAGAAGATGTTTTCAATCTAAAATTTTGGGAACCACTTAAGAATCACTAGATGATTATTATCAAAAGAAAAGAAAATTGTAACTTGAGTTTTCTAACACTTAGATCTCACCCTCTCAAAATTGTATTGTTTTTATTCAAGCTTGAGGTATTATTTTTTTCTAGTGCTTAGAGGGCGTAATTAGGAATTCTTTTTTATCGATAATCCATGTGTTAAGAGGTTATATCCACAATATTTGGGGTAATCAGATCGTATACTCATGAGGGAACATAATATCTCTTGGCCTGGTGAGCATGTATAATATGCTCGTTTTGTGAGCATAGTTTACTTCTACTCCCTTAGTCAAAAGACCTACTTGGGAGGATACTATTGATCTGAAATTTTGGGAACCACCTAAGAATCACTAGATGATTATTATCAAAAGAAAAGAAAATTGAAATTTGAGTTTTCCAACACTTAGATCACACCCTCTAGAAATTGGACAATTTCTATTCATTCTTGAGATATTATTTTTTTTCAAGTGCTTAGAGGGCGCAATTAGGAATTCTTTTTTATTGATGTTAATGTATGTGTTAAGAGGTTGCATCCCTAATATTTGGTGTCCTAAAATTAATCCTAGGTGGGACTTTACATGAGGGAGTAAATGGATAGTATGAAGTAGAATATCTTTTGGCTAGATGAGCATGTATACTACGCTCCATTGGGAGCATTCTACTCCCACAGTCAAAAGACCTACTTGAGCGAATTTTTTCAATCTCAAAATTTTGCAACTATTCTAGGTAGAAACAAGTTGATATTATCCTTTTTTTTTTGTCCCCATGTCCTTTCCGAGGTGGCAACATGGGGGCACAAAAAGGAAATAGAGGGATGGGCTTCCTCTCCATTTTGGCATAGCAAGGGAGCCCTTCCCTGTATGACGTGCTATTAGCTCGGTGACATCTAAGAATAACTAGATGATTATTATCAAAAGTACAGATTTGAAATTTGAGTTTTCTAACATTTAGATCTTACTTTCTAAAAATTGGATGGTTTCCATTCAATTTTGATATATTATTTTTTTCAAGTACTTGGAGGGTGCAATTAGGAATTTTTTTTATTGATATTAATGTATGTGTTAAGATATTATATCCCCAAAATTTGGGGCCGAAAAGTTAATCCTAGGTTAGATTTTACCTGAGGGAGTAAATGGACAGCTATGGGAATAGAATGTCCTTTCGCCTAGTGAGCATGTATACTATGCTTTCGAGAGAGCATAGTTTACTTCTTCTCCCTCAGTCAAAAGACCTACTTGGGAGGAATTTTTTCAATCCGAAAATTTGGGAACTATATAAGAATTACTTGATGATTATTATCAAAATAAAAATAAATATTGGAATTTGATTGTTCTAACACTTAAATCTCACCCTCTAAAACCGGATAGTTTCTATTCAATCCTGAGATATTTTTTTTTCAAGGGTTTTGAGGTAGCAATTAGGAATTTTTTTATTTATTGATATTAACCTATGTGTTAAGAGGTTATATCCCCAAAATTTGGGGTTCTAAAATTATTTATAGGGATTTTACCCAGGAATTGAACAGACAATCTACACTTCATGGAGTAGAATATCTTTTGGACAGTACACTCCCAAGGGAGCATAGTTTACTTCTTTTAATTGTTTGCAGTTTTGCGTGAGTTTTTCCGGTAAAAAACAAGAGACATCCCCATAGATGGGTGTGTAGTGTCTCCAACAAACAAGTATGAAATTCGCTACATCCTATCTTTATCAGACCCCAATCGATTATTTCTCGGGTGCGCTTTGTATGGAGCCGAGGCTCTAAACAATCAAAGTAATGCGTACCTTCAAATAGTATCGAGAAATATGGTTTCCGTACTAAAAAGCCTTGTAATAGCTTTAAAATATATTTTGATCTTTAATTATAAAATTTAAACCTTCAAAAGTAGTGTAGAGTGAGTAGATCTATTAAAAATTGAAGATATGAAAAATTGACGGTCCAAAAATTTGTTACAAGATACATTCTTTCCAAAACTTGAAATTTATTATTTTTTTTCTCATGTCCATACATCTTGATGTCGAGATGATCAATTTGAGGATATTTGAGCATCAAAACAACCTCTTCTAGTGAAAATTTTGATGTGGGCTCTATTTTGTTTGTTTAAAGCCTCGGCTCTATAAAAATGTTTTCCTTATCTCTTGTATATAACATTTACAATTCAAAAATTATTTGATGCCGTCTTGACCGGTCTTGATTGCATTTCTATAATATGCGGTCTAGAGGTATAAAGCATCCATCGACAATATGGATGCAAATAAATGGTCTATCTAAAAACAACGGCAACTAATAGGTTGATATGTTTTCTTGATATAATTATTATTTTTAGTTTTTATTTTTAAAATATAACCTCTATGTTAAAGATTGTATATTCTTTAAAAATTAGGATCCAATAATATTTAAAAAATATATTTATTGCCAACGCCGCATTTCTACCATATGGGGGCTGCCCCATAAAAACCATACCAGCATTAATCCATCTCTCTCCAACTGAATTGTCCTTCCTCTCTCTATCATTAGTGCGGCAGCGCACAAATGATCCTCTGTGCATCGTTTCTCTTTCTAAATTGATCCCCTCTCTCTCTCACATATGCGCAGTAATTCATCTCGCTCTCATTAAATTGATCTCGCTCTGTCTAAATGATTCTCTCTCTCTCTATCTTCATTTTTGCGCCAAATTGTTCCGCTCTGTATCATTTGTGCACTAGTGCACTAATTCATCTCTCTCTCTAAATTCTCCGGGCTGGCCATGGTCTACTTTGCGAATCCCCCTGCAAAAACGCCCTAATTTTGCAGCCCTTTCATTACCAGCAATAATGCCTGGTCATGGCGATCGTCACTGGGGACCGCTACCTGGATCTCCTCGTGAAATTCACAGAGAAACACGCTGAATCCCTATTAGAAGGAACCCTAATTCTGAAACTGAACCCAGTGGGTCTTCACTATGTTCATTCGAGGCTTGAAGCCCTTGAAGAATTGGAAGGCCTCATTGCAGGGGCTCCTGTTGATTACCTTCGTGCTTATATCTCTGATCTTGGAGATCACCGGGCTCTTGAGCAGCTTCGTCGAATCCTTCGACTCTTGACTTCTCTGAAAGTGGTTTCCGTTCTTCCTCCACCTGCTAGGGATCCGGCTCCTCTCTCTCTCAGGCCTTTCAATCGACTGAGGTTTCTTGAGCTTCGAGGGTGTGATCTCTCGACTTCGCAGGCTAGGGGGCTTTTGGAACTCAGACACACTTTGGAGAAGATAATATGCCATAATTCAACAGTATGTTTGGTTATTTTTTGGATGTTTGCTCTATAATCTGTTCTGTTATTTTGTTGGAATCCTCTATGTAATGTGGAATTTTCTTTATCTCGGCATTGGAATTTTCTTTATCTCGGCATTGAATTTCAATAAGGTAGTTGATATATACTATAATAGCTAGAGTTCCTGGTCCATGGTAGATTACATGAAGCACTGGATTGTATTTTCTGTTTTCTATGACTGACTCAAGAAGTTTGCCTGTATAACTGGGCATACCCTCGAAAGTTTTGCAAATTATGGAAGCAAACAAGAGTGCTCTTATAGATGGAGAAGCAATGCTAAGGAATACTGAAAAATATCTGAATTGTGGTTCTGTGGATACACTGATACAAGAGTGCTCTTATAGATGGAGAAGCAATGCTAAGGAATACTGAAAAATATCTGAATTGTGGTTCTGTGGAAACACTGATACAAGTCTGCTGCTTAATTCAATTGGCGCTTCAACTACTGCATGATAGCCATCATCCAATTTTGAGTTTTACCTTATTTTTTTTGGTTCTGAGCTTTCTAGATAGAAGATAAAAGAAGGGAAAGGTGGGAAAAGTAGGATTCATAATAGGAAAATAGGAGTACAAGGGATCAAAATGGGGAAAAACAACAAGAGAGTAACAAGAAGGTCGGAATGAACTTTTAGTCTGCATCATACATCCCTTTGCAGCCAATTAAAGAGCCAGAACTCATAAATTTTTAATTCTAAGATCATCCCTAAAAGAAAAAGAATAGGAAGAATTGAAATAAAATCAAATATAATGTAAACTCACAAAGCTCATCTAACTCATCAGATAACTCATCCAATTCAATGGAAAACACAGCTTTTGTTAGCATCACCAGGACTATTATTTAGTAGATAAGAAATGAGTGGGGTTACTGAAGAAGCAATCTGTGTTCGACCAAGGCCCATAAGCCTTAGAGAAAAGAAAGAAAAACACAGGCAACATACTTGTGAATAGTCATAGAGGAAAAAGGTGGAAAAGAAATGGAAATCAAGTATTAAGAGGAGTGGAGGGGAGGTATCGAAAAATATCGAAACACAGGTATCAAGGGAAGCAAAAATGTTCTCAATCAAGAGAGAGCAGCCCCTCCACTCTGTCCTAGGTAAGAGTAATACTGTCATCTTTATCTTGTGGACACAGAGGATTAGGATAAAGATGACCCTTTGGTCAATATTTATTTTATATTGCCTGCGGATCACTTGAGTATCATTTTGGTTAAGGGTTTGAATTTGACTGTCTAAAGTTTCCAGCCCTCCTATTGAAATGCTCCAATTTCAAGATCCCTTTTGTGGTAGTGTAACTTCTCATTCTAGCCATCGGTCTGTGTTTTGCTTTTTCGTTCAATGAAGCTTCTGGAACTGTTATTCATTGTTGAGCCACCACCCCATACCATTTCCAGATAGGGATATTGTAGGTGGTATAAAACCAAGGGGCTAGATTCATAACTTTAAAAATTTTCCATTCTGTTAAAACACAAGGCTTTAAATACATGAAGAACTCAATACAAAACCATAATACATAAATTCCAGCCTTCAAACTTGGTTTATACCAACCTTAATAAATAAAATTACAACTCTAATAGGTCCCTTTCTCAAAATACAATTAAGGGCAATACAATGTCCAAATATTGAAAATGTACATCTTTACAACATATTACAAGACTTATGCTCAAATTCATCATTCTATAAAAATTACATAATGATATTTTCTTCAATCTTCATTCTCATCATATGCCACATTGTCTTATACAAATCATATAGTCACTCATAAGAATCAAATGAGATTTCAATTCACATAAACAAAAAGTATAACATTAAAGCTCATATCACAAGATTTTAAGAACAATCTCAATATTCACGTAACATACTCAATTCTATCATTCATTAATCACTCAATGACAGTAAATATCAAATTAACATGCAACCAATCATGGGGGAGGCCATGGTTCAAACCCCTTGTGCCCGGTCCACGATCAGGGCTTTTGAGGACTTAATTTTGTCCCAAAGATGAGTTTGGGAAGCTTATACACCTTTACAAACATTTCATATGGTCTATAATCAATAATAAAAACAACCCACATCAGTTTGTAAAAAGAACGAGAGAGATTCGATTAAAATCGAGCAAGATAGAACAAAACTATGTAGTATAGTCCACCGGACCACCAAAACAGATTGCATGCAAAAGTGTGGATTCTAAATGATTGAAAGAGGTAATGGATCTCTGGAATTTGAAACCTAAGAAATGCATGAGAAAATTCGTATATAGAAAATCAAGGGTAAACCATACTCAATCAAAGAATCACCAAGGTATGAAGCATATACTCAAGTAGATGACCACCCTATAAAAGGCAATCATAAAGATCACGTGAAACAAAGGATAAAAGGATTACAAAGCTGGTGTAACGAAGAATTTACAGCAAGATTTGAAGTGGAATGGGGTGAAGAACATTAGTGAAAAACTCGATAGAGGGTTACCTTGAAGATGGCTCAATACGAACTAGATCTCATGTAGTGAATGATCACCCCAAAGCTTCAAGTATGATCAATGGAATGCAAGTTCTACAATGGCTGTTGCATAGAGCTTATAGGAGTTCCTTCTCTCTCTTTCTCTAGGTTCTTTCTTATTTATGAAAATTTGTTTTTTAAAAATTAGGTTAGGTTGGACTATAAGATTGTATTTATATGAAGTGTGTAAGTAGGATTAGATCTCAACCCTTGATGCACATCATCAATGGCACATGAGAGGCCAATTATCTCTAGCCACTCATCCCCATTTACTACCAAGATGAAGGGGCGAAATTTGCCACCATTATCACCCACTAAATCCCTATGTCAAAGCCACATTTACCTTCTTGTCCTTAGCGCCATACTTTTATTATAAACATGTCCAAGTGTACTTGCAAAAATACCCTTAACATTTAATAAATTCATGAGTCTAGAGATTGTCCAAGGGCAAGGGGCAAATAAGTAAATGGTGTCTTTGCATGGGAAAGGCAAAAAGAGGGTTATGACACCACCGATAGGATCGGCCCAACTCACACCCTTCACATGTACTCCACACCTTCACATGGGTCACACCAATGAGGTGCATCCACATGAAATATTCACATGCAATGTAATCTATGTGGATATTTATTTTAATAACAATTTTTATTTAAAAAATTCCCTTGGCTTCGCACAAGCCAAGCATGTCACATGTGTGACAGTTACCCATGTGATTAAAATGCAACTCTATGTTATAACCAAATAACATAAGGTTTGGAAATCAAATTACATAGTTAAGTGTTAAAAGGGGGCCTAATGTGAGGGGCCCATGGTGCCACGTGGTCACCCTATGGCCACTCGGGTGCTACGTGGCATCCATATGGATGTCCTCATTTGTAATTAAAGTCAAACAATTTTGAAAAACACATTTTTGGTGCTTTAAAAAATCCTGAAAAATTTTCAAAAATCCCATTAAATATTTGAAACATATTTTACATATTTTTACATTATTTCTCATCATAATTAAATCGGACTAAAGGATATGTGAGATCTTAATGTTTTGACTTAGTAACATGAGTATTCCATTGGGTTAATCCCGAATGATGTTCCACCGGTATCTCAAGCTGACCCAACAGATTTGTGCTCCACAGTTTATGACAGAGACACATAATTGGTCACATCAAAATCACTAAGCCAGAGCTTCCCACTATCCGGCTTCTCAATGGATTACAGGTGTACCCCTGTGGGACATATTATTACTCTATTACAGAGGTCCTCTCAAAGCACATTTGTACTAGTTCTTCTAAGTCGGATAACACTAGAGAAAAGTGGCTACCCCATACGATTGTGGTGCACATGCCATAAAATGGTCTTGTGTCTGGATACGGGCTCATGTCCCATAAGCAATAACCATTCCATAGAGGGTCAGCTCTCAATCAAACACTCAGGTTCTATTGTTCTCGATTTGGAATCTCCAAGTCGTGGCTTATCACATCAACTATAAGGCATTCTAACCTATACAATCCTGACTCGGAGGTGACCCTCATAACTCCCTTGAGAGATTACTCCTTCCAAAACGTAAGCTCTCGATGCCTCATAAAACTCGGGGTAATATGCTGGGCCCCATTGCGCCAAGCACCCAGATTCAGTCTCTCTCTTTAGTTCGCACTGAGTGGAAGACTCTTTAGCTTTAAGGCCTTGAAAGGCCATATAGCCAACATATATCTGATGCTTTGTTGTTGAATTCTAAAAGTTCATTATAAGAGGAACTTTGAACAAATGTTGCTTATGTAACTACCATGAACTATTCTTGAGTTACCAAAGATATAATAGTCAAAGACACTGCCAAAAGCAGTCAATGGGTGCTTTCTTTACTCCAGACTCCGGACCTGAAGTTTTTGCAAAAGAAGGTAAAGGAAAATCAGAAGACCATTGAAACTAGATTTTGTCCTCAGATGGCTTGCATGCTATGTTATGTCTGGTGCAGTGATTGGAAACTCAAGCCTGAGCAAGGAAGAAAGCAGAGCCTGAGCCCGAGTACCTAGTCTGACTTGCCCGAGTCTTGGGCAAGACTTTGCTGAGTCTCTTGAAAACTAATATAGTAGGGTTTCAGAATGGGTTGGATTTGGGTAACTCTTGAGGTTTTGGACCCAGAACTGGGACCTTACAAGGTCTCATTGACACTGGTGAGTCCCAGACTGAGTCGCCGAGTTTTCAATCACTGGTTTGAGGTTGTTGGGCAATATGATTAAAGGTTCAAGGCCTGCAAATTTTGTGAGCTTTGAGAGCCCCTACGAAGAAAAAGTCATGTGTATGATTGCATGCTTGAGAACACAAATAAGCATGGACAGAAGATATGGGGTTGCGAGATTGAAGGAAGAGAGCTCAATAATTCTTGTTAGTTGTCCTCTGGGAACAATATTTTTTGAAATTAGTTGATATGCTATCAAGCCTTGCTCTATCTAGTTCCCTTCGTAACCAAAAT